TAATTAATAATACATCCTATGTACAATATTTTACATCATATACAATGATATAGTGTATATTTAATTATCACATACTATATCTTACACATAAAGTATATGTACATACATATGATACATAAATTGTGTACATGTGTTCACTTGGAACCCTGAGAATTATAGAGATTCCGACTTAAAAAAAGATCTGCTTTATCTTGAGGTTTCTCCATCATTCTTTTTGTAAATGAATGACTTTTGTGTTTTTACTATAAGTGTCAAAGATTCCTAGAATTTTAGATTGAAACAGAGATTTATTGATGTAGGAATACTTCTGTGAATCTTGGGAGCAGTTGTGGAGGACAGAGGGCATAAACACAGGAAACTCCTCACCTTCACCTCACCTTGCAGTGTTCAGATGACCGCACAGGATGGCTGGACCTCTAGTGGGATTGCTGTCCTTTGAATTCAGTGTTCTCCTGGCAATGACAGCTTGACTAATAAGTGAATCTGGAATTTAGGAAAAGAAATAGAGTAAATTTATCCTTCCTTTGTCCCTCCTTTTCTCTACCTCCATCCACCTCCATCCATCTCTCTCTCTACATCCTAGCTTTTCTTCTCTCTATCTCTCTCATTTTCCTTCTCTTACTTCTCAGCTAATCTATCAGGTTTAAACTATTCCACAACAGAAGTCTATTTGAAAATTAAATAATGATATCTACAATTCATTATTCTAATTGGTCTAAAGAAAAAACTTTATATTGTCTCTATAGTACTTGAAAAAATGCTTTTAAAGGTTTCAGCAGCTACTCGTGATAAATCATCAGGCCAGAAATAATGAAAAATAGCTATTTGTTAAAAATGATCAACAAAACTCTACAACAAACACTGTACTCATTAACATGCTATTTACCGTTTTACCACTCAACTTCCATTAAAGACAAAAATGTCACAATCAGTTTCTGTATCCAGATTTATATTGAAATCCTCCAAATTATATTAGAAAAATTATCATCAAAACCAAAAACAAAAACAAACGGAAAAAATACAAAAGGCATGAAGCAGATAAATGAAGTGACAAAAGGTCTTTATTTGCTGAAAAACTTTATGTACAAAGTTTTTCAAAATCTTAAAATAAAATATATTAAATAATAACGTAATAGTGCCTTTGCCCATCTTTTGAATAGCTGTTCATAATTAAAAGACAAATAAATATAAGGTATTTCCATAGCTATAGTTTGGACTTACTTTAGTATTTCAATTTCCAGCCCAGCACCAATAGCTGAAGCCTACAATCACATTTACTCAAAAATTTCAGACCTTGAGAACTGCTGTTCCAGGTAAGCATGGGCAGAATTCCTATCTTACGTTTCTAGGACAGATCCTGCAAGTGGAAACATGAGGAAAGTAGCTGGGGCAGCCCAGCCTCACACTTCTGCTTCTTGGAGGTTTATGTTATGGCTTGTATCACTGTGGGTGGGTTATCATAATGCTGTTGACAGTAATAAGTGGCAATGTCTTCAGGCTGCAGGCTGCTGATGGTAAGAGTGAACTCTGTTCCAAGTCCACTGCCACTAAATCTAGAGGGGATTCCAAATTGTAACCTGTTTGCACCATAGATCAGGAGTTTAGGTGCTTTCCCTGGTTTCTTTTGGTACCAGTTTAACTCATTGCTAATATACTGACTGGCCTGACATTTGATGGTGACTGTGTCTCCAGGAGATGCAGACAGAGTGGATGGAGACTGGGTCATCTGGATGTCACATCTGGTACCTGGCATTGGAAAAGTAATAAATGCATACATGGAATCAATAAATCAATATATAATACATAGAACCAAGCATGCTATAAGAAAGCTTCATTAATAGCCAAGTATCAGTGACTACAACACATGGAGGAAATCCTCATGATTGTCTTTCCTTACTTGGAATCCAGAGCAGCAGGAGCCCCAGGAGCTGAGTGAGGGCCCTCATGTCCACGCTGTGTTCTGACTGAGACTGATGCCTGCATCTGGGGTGAACAGCCTATTAAGAAGGTATCAGGGTGCTGACTGTGCTGTGGGCTCATGCAAATCAGTAGGGGTTTGGATTTGTACAGCTGCAAATCTGACTCTCTTAGTAACTGGGCCTAGACACCATCCTCGCTGTCTGTATGTCCACAGAGAAAGAGAATGCATCTGTTATCAAGCCAGTACAGATGCACCTGTAGAAATAACTTGAAGCAAATTTGGATATAGTTTTTTAATGTCACATTAGAAACAGTGATATTTCATCATTTGCAAAAAATGCAAGTACAGGATTAGAATTATGTTTAATGAAGTAAAGCTTAGAGACATAAAGCACACATGATTTCTCCTATATGTAGAAGCTAGTTCAAATGTATTAAGGCATATATAAACACATAGAGGAGCATATGCAAGGGTAACAAATATATTAACCAAAGTATGGCATTTACATGGGAGAATTCCAATGATGTAACTCTTTAGATAAACTAACACAGTTCAATAAAATAAATACTGACACTTGAAAGATGTGGAGGCGAGGTCAAAGGGAGGAGTAGATGAATGTAGGGAGGAAAGTAGGGAGAATGCAGTCATAAACTCCAATGCAGATCCTGTGAAACTAAGAAAGTTGAGGGCAGGTATTAAGGAGAATAATAAAAGGAGTGATGGTATGACAGTAGTCAAGCTGCATTGTACTTAGAAACTAAAAGTACTTTGTACTACTACTTAAAGATAATACTACTTAACATAATGAATAAGCTATTAAATTTTCTGACCTTTTGTAAAGAAGAATGCTCACTTTTTGGGGCTGGGAAGGTGGCTCAGTTGTAGAGCGCTTGCCTTGGATGCCTGAGGCCCTGGGTTCAATTCCTCAGCAACACATAAGCAAAAAGAAAAAAGCCGGAAGTGGCACGGTGGCTCAGGTGGTAGAGCGCTAGACTTGACCTGAAGAGCTGAGGGACAGCGCCAAGGCCCAGAGTTCAGGTCCCACAACCAGAACCCCCCCAAAAAAATAAAGAATGCTCAATTTACAGAAGATATGTAATCCACAATATGTCATATGAAAATCAACACCTTCATTACTGCTCAATGATCCATTACTTCAAATATGGAAAGGGATTCTTATAAAAGAATGGAGGGATTTTTATGTTAACATCATACATCTGTATCTGTTCTTATCTCAAGACTGGCAACAGAAGCCTCTACCTTCCCAACTTCCTCCTCTAATCAGGCTGCATGCTCTGACTGAGCCTCTTTTACACAGATCTTTTTTAAAGGCCTATAGCTAGTGGTGCTGAAAAGGACAGACCATGTCAATCATGAGAGATTTTCTTCCATTTATTTTGAAGAGTCTCTGTGAGTGAAATTGCAATTAAGACATCAAACAGAGACTTACCTTTCAACTCAATTGTGGGTAGAGCAGACCCTGAATATCTTCTTACTAAGTATGTCTCCTCATTCTGCTTTTAGTTCATTGTACACAAGGCACCAGGACTTGCACCCTGAGTGGCTCTGTGGTCACATGCAGGAAATTGCACCATCTTCCACTCTTCCTCAGTGCTTCCCCATTCACCTGCTGCTTCTGCACAAAAACAAGATGAGATCTGTTAGATGTGGAGATCTGTTAGCTCCCCAGAAGCCCGAGGAAATTAAGCTCCCAGGGCTGTCAGAACTGTTGCTGACATGGGCATGAATGACCTAGTCCAGCACTCCATACAGGCTATACAGGCACTCCTAATTCTCAATGTTCCAAACCAAATAAAAAAATTTACCCACCACAATATGTGATCTTAGAATAGTCATCATTTCAAAATAAACATATACTATATAAATTAATTTTTAATTTATCCTATAACAACTATGTAGATGAAAAGATCTGAATATTGGATAGAAACATTGGATAAAAATGATTCTTTTAAGTGCAATATCTATCACTGAATAGTACTAGGAATTATTTAACCACTATATACAATTTTGAGGATGAAACAATAATAATCGTTTCTTCAATTATACTTTTATTTCTTTGTTTTCATCTTTTGAGTAACTATATAAATTGGTCTCACTGTAATTAAATAAAGATATGAAATCTATGGCTGGGAAGGTGGCTCAGTGGTAGAGCACTTGTCTTGCATGCATGAGGCTCTGGGTTCGATTCCTCAGCACCACATAAGCAAAAAGAAAAAAGCCGGAAGTGGCACTGTGGCTCAAGAGGTGGAGCGCTAGCCTTGTGCTGAAGAGCTGAGGGACAGCGCCCAGGCAAGAGTTCATACCCCAGGACCATATCCCCCACCAAAAACAAATGCAAATCAAAACATCATTGATATTCCACCTCACCCCATTTAGAATGGCTATAATCAAGAACGCTAATAACAACAGATGCTGGAGGGATGTGAATGGAAGGGAACCTTACTGCATTGTTGGTGGGAGTGTAAACTTGTTCAACCACTTTGGAAAGTGGTATGGAGGTTCCTCAAAAGACTCCACATAGAAATCCTCTATGACCCAGCAATCCCACTTTTGGGCATTTACCCAAATGATCACAAAGAAGATCACACTACCAGCACAACTGTTTTTGCAGGATTATTTACCATAGCTAAGATATGGAACCAACCCAGATGCTCCTCAGTAGATGAATGGATCAAGAAAATTTGGTCTATATACACAATGGAATTCTATGCCTCCATCAGAAAGAATGACATTGCCCCATTTGTTAGGAAATGAAAAGACTTGGAAAAAATTATATTAAGTGAAGTAAGCCAGGTCCAAAGAAACATAGGTCCCAAGGTTTTCCTTATTTGTTATAACTAGTACATGTCTGGGACAAGCAGAAAAGGTCAAAAGCTATGTACATATGACCAGATAAGATGAAGTTAAGTGAAATGAACCTCAAGATAGGGACACAAATGTTTTTTTTTCTTGTTTGTGTTGTTTCTAACATATTTATAGGGTATAATGTGAATTTTTGTTGTTGTTGTTGCTTTGTTTATTCTTCCCCCATGGTATAATCCTTGTTTTTACTGTATTTGATGTCGGTATAATTTATGGAAGGGAAGGAAAAAAACCAAAATGTTTAAATAAGGATACAGGTCGACCCATTGTAACAATGAGATGTAGAAGACACTATATTGAAAAAGTGAACTTTACAAATTGCGGGGTAAAGGTGGTAGTGTAGTTGTGGAGGTGGGAGGGAAGGGATGGTAGGGGAAAAAAGGAGGAGGCAACAATACTTGATAAGAAATGTACTCATTACCTTGCTCATGTAACTGTAACCCCTCTTTACAGTATTTTCACAATAAAAAACTAATTTAAAAATATTCAAACACCATTTTATAATGACATCAAAATGTTATAACTGAATTAAAGATCATATAGAATGAACTCCAAAAAATACAATTAAAAAGGCACAGAGATGAGACCAAGAGATGAGAAAACTTCATCTTCAGATAGGACAGCTAATGATTGCATTAATCTGTTAGACTAACAACTTCCTAAAGAATATTCTGCAATCGCAATGTCTGAGCAGTGATATCTGGCAGTCTCTAGTCACATATGCCCATTGAGCACTTGAAATGGAATGGATGAAACAGAAGTGTTTAGTTTATAATCTAACTAAAATGTAAATTTATATAGTCATATGTGGCTCACATTTACTCTATCCGGGGGCACATGTTAGCAGTTACATCATCAGTAACATCACAGCACAGCCAGGCTAGTGATTGCTAGCACAGAGTTTGAATCATAGACTGAAGCACCTTCACTTCCAGATTCTCCTGGTGAAGGTGATATTGTCCTACCCATAGCCATGCAACTGTGAGTGGACATGGTTCAGAACATGGAAACTTGGTAATTTATAGCTTACATTGTGCACTTTTATGTTTGAAACACTTGTAGTAATTTTGGTTTTAAGTTTTGTTAAATTCATTGGACCTATTGGTGTTGGCAATTCTCATAATCTGAGAAAATTTTCAGGTCATATTCGACTTTTACTATTTATTTCAGGAATAAAAGTGCTTATGATTTTGATTTATATGCCAAAAAGTATTCATATATATATTTTGAAGCAAGCCAAAAGGTTTTTGGTATTTTTCAGTATCATCTGACTATAGTTATGACAGAATCTTTCCCAGAGCTCAACTTTCCCTCCTTCTAAATACTTCCTCAGTCTCACAAATACTTATAAATACTTACTTCCCATGTCCATCCTGGTGGCCACACCTGTACAATCACATGTGCACACAAACACTTGGGAAGGAGGGGACACCAGAGCTTACCTCCTCACACCTGTCCTTCCTCATCTCCCTTTGTTCTTACATGGATAGAGAGCATCATCAGTCATGAGTGCTGAGCAGAGAATCTCACTTAATGAGGGGAAGTGAAGAGGCTTGATAATTCAAGATAAGGTTATGCTGATGGCTCACATCTATAATCCTAGCTATTCAGGAAGCTAAGATCTAAGGATAATGGTTTGAATCTAGTGTGGGCAGCAAAATCTAAGAGACTCTTATGTCCAACTGATCAGCAAAAGTCTGAAAGGAATGGAGCTATGGCTCTAGTAGTAGAGCATCAGTGA